GAATTGTCTCAACTTTCCCTTTGATTTTGTCTAGCTTAATTATTGTCAGTGCTGCACACTTTCCAAAGAAAACGTCATGTGATTGAAAAGCCAGCTGTTCCTTTAAAAGCCATTTGGATGAAAATTACTGAGTGTGTTTGGACCACGATCCCCATTTCATTGATGGGGAAACTCAAAGCACAGGGGTGTGAAAGAACTTGCCTTGTGCTGGAATTACAGCCCAGTCCTGGGTACTCCGTGTCAAGCAGTAGCTGGGGTGACAGCAAGTCCAACTCCATCTAAAAATGAATAAATAAAGGTACCAATGAGCCTGAACTGAAGGAGGAGGAGGAAGAAACCACAGCTGTGATTTCGTGTTGTGCTGGGTACAGTGAAGCTCTCCTGGGAGCTGTTTAGGGCTTCCCAAAGGAGAAGAAGCAAAAATGCAATAAAGCAATGACTCAACAAGGGCCTGATTCATGTTTTGAGTAGAGGAAACAAAACAAAACTTGTTGCAATGGCAGGTTACATTTACTCATCTAATCCAGCCTCTTTAATAAAGCATCATAACCCAAAATCCACGACAATTTTTAGAAGGAAATACCTTGGAAGAAAAATTTTCTTTCCTGCATATGAATCTTTTGCTTTTCTGGGTAGAACGAATTAATGATTACTGGTTGTTGGTGTTTTCTCATTCAAAGCAGAGTGCTGAAGTAACACTTGAATGCTGTAGTATTGCCATCTAATGCACACTTAATTTTCATAAATATTTTTCGATTCTGTGTCTGGAGGTCAGAGGGACTGGTTAGTGGCTTAAGTAATGTTCTTTAAAATTCCCAGTATGAACTATGGCTTCTTTGCTTAGAAATCAAATGCTTCAGCTACAAAAATACAACTTGCTTTTTTTTTTCTTTTTCCTTGTTTGTTTTCAGAAATATTAAAATTTGTTAGCCAGCATGTTAAGAATACTTTTTTCCTTTTTCAATCCATTGTTGACAAGTGGACCCGTTTCTGGTAGAGCTGATATCCCTCGGGGAACCTTCCCTTGTGCCAACTAAACTCATGGCTTTCATCTTGAAGCCTAGAATTCTGTGTTTGCCAGGGCTGTTTTTGTGGTCCCAAATGATGACCAATTCCCCCAGCCAGCCAGATTTCTAGAGGCTGAAGTGGAAAAGAAAGATGTCTTTATATGCTTACAACCATTGTTTCTTTTTGGAAGGTGGATAGTATTTTTGAGTGATGTAAATTCTTTTGAGCTTAAAGATTTTGTTCACTTCATTGCCATTTCCAAATATTGCTGAGGTCATCTATTTAGCAAAAAGCCTTGGAAGGTAAATAGTCCATTTTAACAGGCTTACCTGGAGTTGTTTGTGCTTTGCCTACACAGAATCCACACACATTTAACTGCAGTGCTGGAAAAACTACTACCTAAAAAGGTGGAGTTGTGCTCATGCCAGCAAATCATGCTGACAAACAGGTGTCTTGTCCAGATAGTTTTGGGGTTTATTTCTAATGACAGCATTTGGGCCTTTTTAGAGATAATTGTATTTCTGGTTCCTTAACTAAGCCAAAACTTCAGAGATAGGAACTCTAAAATCCCTTTCTGTGTTGTTTTCTAGTTTAAAGCCCCTTCCACCTTCTTTACATCCCGTTACATCTGAAACCAGGGGTTTTTCAGATCCAAACAAGGGACAGGGTGGCCTCTTTCATGAATGGACCAAGATGGAATGTTTTCATTTCCAATGGGCTTTAAGCCAAGTAAATATTAGGCGATCCAAACTAGTTTTGAAATTAAATTATTCTTATTTGTTGGAGCATTCCAGAGCATGGCTTTGATCTGTCTGTACTTTCACCAAAGGGATATTGGCAGGGCAGCCTCCCATTTCTAGACATTTGGGATGAAAGCAGGGTTATAATAACCACCTTGTGTGGCAGTGATACTGAACAGATGACATTTTTTGGACAATATTAAATGAATAAAGGTAAACATACTTCAATTAAAATGTTTTTGGAGGCTGAATGCAAGAGGGTTGTTGGAAAGTCTTCTATGTGGGTTGGAGGAATTTGGCTGCATTTGTAACTGATTTTCTTTAACTCCAAAAATCTTGGAAAGAGAGGGGTTTATCCTGTGCTTTATTTCCTTTCCAAATAAATACATTGTTTGAATAGCTTAAAAATCAAATTAAAATTGGCAGTGAACAATGAAATTGTCAGTAACTGGGAGGTAGAGAGGTGTGCTGAAGAAGGAGGGTCTTTTGCTTCTGGGATCAGTACAGTGACTGAGTTAGCTCAGGTGGCACCTGCAAGTAAACTGAAGCACACGACAATTAAGTGGCACATTATCAATCTTACCAAAGATACTTGAAGACAATTTAAAAAATGAATTAAAATCTGAGGAGTGGAACAAGATGCTTGGAAAGATCTGCTGGAGGTCACTGGTCTGACCACCTTCCACCTTCAAAATTAGGTCAGGTATCTAAATAAGTTCAGCTATATGTTTAAGTTCCAATTTAGATTTCAGGTTATGTGGAACCTCTGGTGTTGAGGTTTCTTACATGTTTTAATAGGTTTTCTGTAAATAACTAAATATACAAATTGTCATTTGCAATATTGATGCAAATTAAATTGCTTTTCCTAGAAATGTGAGTAGCTTGCATGGATAGACAGGTGTCTTCTCACAAAAACTCTGTGTCAATTTGCTTTGATTTCACAACAATTAAACTAGTTGTACTTGTTTTCTAAGTTAAATAAACAAAAAATGTCTTTTGACAGGTACCATGTTAAACACTCAGTGCTGTTGGTGAGTGTTCTGAAGTGTTACCTGCATTTTAAATCTGTTTAAGTACTTTGTGTGTTCATGCCTTAAGGGAGAAATGGTTTGAACAAAGATACAAAAAACAAAAGCACAAGGGGTTTGTAGGTTAAAACTCAAGCTTATGTTTTTTTGAACATCAGCTCAAATCTGGATCCACTTGCTTGAAATGGAATATTTAGTTTTCAACTCAGCATGTGAACTGGTCATGCTTGAATTTAAAGCTTGATTTATTTCTTTTTGCACCTGTTTTTATTTTAACACTGACTCTATACAAGACAGACTTCTGCTACATGGTTCCTTCCTCCCCAGCTGGAAGTCTGGTCTGATATTATCATGTGAGACCTTCCTAAAATTTACATTTGTAACTACAACCTTTGAAAATGCAAAATACACTCACTCTTCCATTAGGTGGTGTTTTTTTATTTATGGTTTTCTCTCCTGTGCTACAGCACTGACCCACATACCTGATTTTAAGGGCTGGTCGTGTACTTGCCCTGCAAAATCTTTTTTGCATAAAACAAGGTACAGTCCTGCCCCTGGCAAGAGGTGCCAGATGGGCTGGATCAGGGGAGAACTGGACATAAACTTGGAGGAGGAAACGTAAAAGGAGCTGAGGGAGAGAGGAGGGAGGCGTGAGGCAGAGCGTGGGAAGCGATGCTAACGTGGGGCGGATGTACGGGAGAGCCTGGAAATCTGGGAATTTTCTACAATAGTTGTGTTTGACAAAGAGAAGGGATGAGCTCAGTGGTCTTAAGGGGGAGGTTTTAAAGGAAATGACATGTGTGTTCTCTTGAATATGCAAATCAGAATTACATAATCTGCAATAACAATAACAATAATAATAATAAAATCTTTTCCAGATTTGCAGCTGTAACCGTATGCTCAGCGGGGTGGTGGCAGGGAGCTGGCAGCCACAGCTGCACTGTAGAACTGGGCCATCCACCTGGTTCTGATCTCAACAGAAAAGGGACAGAAGGTCACATCACAGACTGTTGTCATCAGTGTCTTGTAGTTTATATAATTTTTTCAGGCTAATAAACAAAGTATGGGGAGACCCCAGAGGCATTTAAAAGATGTGTAGATGTGGCACTTGGGGACATGGTTTAGTGATGGCTTGACAGTGCTGGGTTAACAGTTAGACCTAATGATCTTGGAGATCTTTTCCAACCTAAATGAGTCCATTTTTTCTTCAAATTAAATTACTTCACTTAGTTCTTCAGTGACTGTAAGCCATCCTTTTTCCTTGTTTTCCCTTCCCCAGGGAATTCTGAAATTGGTTCATATTGCCCCTGTTCTTTCCCATGCAGATGTAGGAATTTCAGGTGTATTTACTGTACCTTTTGCTGGGTTAACTGTGATAACCGTGTGTGCCTTTTATAAATATAATTTTCCCTGAGAGCAGAGATGAGCTAAATGATAAAATACACTGAGGTACTGAAGTAAACCCTCCATAATACTAAGCAGTAAGAGTTTAACCAACACATCATGAGAGGTTTTTTTTCCTCAAGGCTTGAAGAGCTGCTGTTTTTGCTGACACACAGGGCTTTTCACCAAGGCAAGAGCTCCGGATGAGTGAGAAGAGCTAGCACCACAGTCTTTGTAAGGAAGGTGGAAAAAAATCTCAGTGGATATAAAATTTTGGTATCTTTGTGTGTTTATGGATTGTGGATGAGAGATATTTTCAGTGATCAGGTTAGATCTATGGTTTTAGTGCTAGCCTGGGCAGGGGAAATGTGAGCACTCAAGCACGAATTAGGGCATTTTTTAAATTTCTGAGGGCAGAGGCAATTTTAGCCACTATTTTGTTTCTGTAATGTATATCTATATTCTGATATGTATTATATATGTATATATTCTGATATATATGTCTATATATGTGTGGTGTGTATACAAAAAAAATCCCGTGTGAGGTGTGTACATCTTTGTCAGACTTGGTGTGATTTCACCATATTAAGAAGTTATTTTGAAAATACCCTGGAGATTTCTACATTTCTCTTCCTAGAGCTGCATTCAACATGTGTCCTAGATGTTGGCTGGCTTGGATACTGAGGTTGACTTGCATGTCTGAAAGTTAAGATGGGCACTGAGTCCTATGAAAGGAGCGTGTGAATGGAGAGTGTGAACCTTTTGGGAAGAGTAATTTTATTTTAGATGATGTAGTTCTTGGTCATGTAAACCTAACCTCGTTTCTTGTCCTTTTTCCTAGGGTGACTCTGTTATTACAGTGCAGCTGACTGAGGAAGATAAAGTTGAAGATGATGTAGTTTTTTATTTGGTCTTCACTGGATCAACTGTCCAACACTGCACAAGCACAAGAAAGATTAATCCTGGGAGCCTGGAGACAATTTCTCCTGGTAAAATTGCCCTTCTCTGCATATCAGTGTATCCGTCTGTGAAATTTGGTTGCTATAAGTGGACTGGAATGTAATGCTGTTTGCTTGGTTGTCTTTCCTTCTTTACTCATTAACAAGAAATAGAACATGTGGTTTAGATGACTGCTTTTCCCTTTTAAAAACCTCTTTCTTGATTTTGCTAGAATTATATGACTTTGAGATTGCAGTTACTCAATATGTAAATATGAGATGCTATTGTAGAAAACTCACAGTTTTCTAGATACACATAGTAAAAAGCTTTTAAATGCAGGAAGGATGTGGTGGAAGATACATTTGTGAGGTTACCGATGCTGTTGCCGACAGGTGGGACAGCCCAATAAGTTTTAGCTACACTCATCATCTTCTTTTCTTGATGAGGTTCATTGCTGTCTTCCTGGTGAAATACAACCCTTTCCCCTAAATCCTGTTCAGCTCAGAGCCCACACAGCATTTCTGGAGCTCTTGCAGTCCAGGTGATGTGCTGCTCGGTGCCATCTCTCCATGGCTGGTTCAGATGAGGTGGGTTTCCCCATTAAAGCCCACCACTGTTTTTATCCTTTATCCAGCAAAACAAAACAAATTGGCATTTCCCTTTGGTGACTTCAGTACCGTGGGAATGAGCATGTTCCAGGCTGCAGTCCTCACCATTAACCTTTCATTCTGACTTGTTGCTATGCAGCACATTGCTACCAGTGTGAGAAAAACGCCTGACATTTTCACTACACACAGTGTAACACAGCCCATCAAGTGTTTTTCTTGAGTTTGTCTTTTCATCTAACTCCTAAGTATTGTTTTGTGAGAGATGCACGTGGAGTAAAATTTGGAGTCTTTTTCTCTTGGGAATGAGTCGCTAAAAGTTGGCCACTCGTTTTTTTTTTTTTTTATTTCCTCCTCTTTTTGTGTTCATGTTGTTCAGTTGGCTTGGGAAGAGAAGTCTTTTTATGGCTACTGATGACTGCAGCCCCGTGCAATCAATTAGATTAGTGCTTATTTTCTCCCAGAAGAGCAAGAGGGGGTGACTCCTTCCCTGCTTTTGTGCGGTGGGCGTGGGGCTCTGCCAGCCCTGCTTGCAATGACTTCACCTCTCCCTCGGGGCCGTGGCTGCTGCGCCAAGAAAGGAACTGAAAAGCTTCAGTGTTCCCTCCAGCCCATGTGGGAGCCAGCATGGATGGGATTTCCGGGCAGGAACGATGCTTTCCCATCACTGCTGTCCTTGCAGCACTGCTGGACCAGGTGGTACCAGAGTGATGCTGTGGGCACTGCCCGTCCTGCCAGCCCCAGATATAACCAAGTGACTGGGGAGGGCTCCCTGCAGCTCCCTGTGGTGCTGTTAGTGGGAAAGGAAAAGAGGGAATTTATCCCAATTGTTCCTTTAGCAGCAATGGATTGTTTTGTTGGTTTTTTTTTTTTACCCAGTATAGTCATGATCTTATAGCGTGTGAAGCTAGACCAGGATGGGTGCTGTTGTTTCAGACAGAGTTTTCAGGGACCTTTCAGAAAGGTGGTCTCATTGCTGCACTGTCCAGGGCTGTGGTGCAAGGAAGAGGTGACATCTCAGGTGTAAAGTAGCCATGTGGATAACACCCTCATCTGTGCTCATGCCTCATTATGGTGAGACTGCCTAAAAAAAAAAAAAATGCTTCAACCTCTTCACGGTTCTTGAGGAAAAGCAAAGCAAGAAATGGGAAAAGCCCAATTTTTTCATACCCTCTGCTAGACACCCATGCATTTGTCCAGTGTTGCTTCAGCACTGACTGCAGCGATTTCAGTGGATGTATGACTTATTTTAGTGCAGCTCTTCCTCCTCCTCCTCCTTCTCCTTCCTGGACGCACAGTGAATCTGTAATCATGTGTTTACTCTGTATATTCCACAGTTGCCTTGGCGATGGCTGCAGTGACTCAGAGCGTTATTTGACCTCGAAGGGATTAGCCATGAACAGCACACAGTGTGTGTGAGACCAGCCCTTGTTCAAACACCCAGCCCTGGGCACTTAGCAAAGGCTCTGCAAGGAAACTCCTGCCAACAGCTTTTAGCCAAAATCTCCCCCTTTACTTCCAGCTCCTGCATCTTTCATTTGTTCCTGCCATGCAGGGAGTGTTGCACATCCCTGTGAGCACAGCAGCTCCTGGGGACAGCTCAGGTGCACGAAGGAAAGGCTGATTCACTCAGCATCTCTGCCTTCCTAGAACCTCCTCTGCATCCCTTCTGGACTCAAAGGCTCTTCCCTCATTCCTGCCCCAAATCCTCAGAATTTCATTTGGTCCCCAGGAGACTTCAGATGAAGTCCATCAGCAGCTGAAGTGAAAGGGGTGACTGTAATTCTGTTAAAGTGGAAGTAAAAGCAAGCCCAGATTTGTAATTTTTGTTTCTTGACTTTTTCAGTGGGTTTTTTGATGTATGGAGGTGTAAAAGACAGACAAATGATTTCGTTGCATTTACTGCCAAAATTAATCAGAATGTTTTAGCAAAGCTTTCAAAGAAAATCACATTTAAAAAGAAATCTTAACAACATAATGTTGTTTTAGGTGAAAAATTAGAGAAAATGGAATGGAAATAGAAGCTGTCAAAAAACCTCATAAATTCTCATTGTATGTGAAAATTCTAAATATCCTGAAAGCCTTTACCTAAATAAAAGCTTATCATTGCAGAATTAAATGACTGCTGCATCTTATATAATTACTAGAACAATCTGCCTCTTTCTTATGCTTATTTTATCATCAGCCTTAAACACTGAATATATATATAGTCCATACTACTGTTCAAATTGAGCTTTTATTTCTGTACATAATAAAAGAAAGGACTTCTCGTTGTAAATTTATAGGAGCAGCTTTATTTTACCTGAAGATGTGGGTAAATACAGATTCATCACTTCTTCAAACAACAGAATACATACCTGTATTTATGCACTTGCTCTGAAGGATGGGATGGATTATTTATCCTGCCCTGCCTTGCTGTTGGCAGTGCTAATTTAAGGAAAGTAATTTCCCCTTGTAAGAAACAGATTCTCATCTGAGCTGATCAGTCATAACTCAAAGTGTGAAAATTAGCTACTGAGATTCAAGAATTAGCCAGGAGATGTTCTGTGTGCTTTCAGTAGCTCTTTTGCCAGCCTAAGGACACGCCAGGTTACATCATCCAACGAAGCTTTTGTTTTTCTCAGTGAAAGGCTATCAAAATCTTATTTAACTTTTGGCTCTACTGTCGCTGTTACAGTTCTATTTGTAATTAATCTGGTTGAAATTCTCCCTAATGGAAGCAGTTTTCCTCAGTACCAGAGGCACTGTGTAGTTCTCAGCACAGTTTCAAGCATTGTTTTATCAGACCCAGCGTTAAGGTGGCAGGTGGAGGTGTAAAGGCACTGGCACTGCTCCAGTGGGGATCTCAGTGCAAAAGCTTGGTCACTGGAGTTTGGGTGTTCAGGAAGCACCAAAAGTCTGAGCAGGGAAGGAAATAGAGAAACGATACCATCTCTGCTGCTGTGGTTAAACTGTTGCTGCTGAGTTTGTACTGTTGGGGATGGTTATGTCCTCTTAGGTCACATCACAGATGCTTGTCCTACTGGTGTTGGTCATTAACTGAGCTTTTCAGCAAGTCCTTATTCCTGCAGCAGCTGAGACTGCCCTAATCTTAATGCATTTTTTTCTTCCCACCATCTCTGCAGGGTAGGGAGGGTAACTGAGGCCAAGCAGATTGCATGTGGTAGTGAAGGAAATCTGTGTAAAGTGGGGAAGTGAAACACTCATTGCAAGGCAGCAGCCTCATCTCTTGCCTCTCTGCTAGAGCAGCTTTTTCTTCCCAACTGGGAAAAAACCCAACCCAGTAATAAAAATCCTCAAATCATGATGTGGCAAACAAACCACAGAAGAAGGAATGACTTAATCATTGTCCACACAAGTCAAAAGTCCCAACCACAGCTTGCCGTGGCCAGTGGAGGCCTCTGAGCATCGGGACATTCTTGGGGAGATCTGGGGAAATTTTCTTTCAGGAGCTGGTGTGCTGGGAGCTCCAGTGTTTGTGTGATGCACAAGTTTGCATGCCATCACCATAATTGCTGTATGATTGGACGGGTATTTTGCTTTATATTTAATGACTGGTGGTCTGGAAAGTGTGGGAGACACAGGGGAAGTTTGAAATGAAATTTCAAACAGGGAGAAACAGTCCGGAAATCCAGAGCTGCAGCAGGTCCTGATCAAATAAGTGAAGGGTAAGAAACACCCTGTCTGTGAGCCAGGTCACCTAAACAAGACATAAATTTTGTGAGATGTAATTGTCTTGGTCAGTACTGTTGCAATGTGTCGTATCTCTCCAAGCTCTGTAATACCAAAATTGCTTTTCTCATGTTCATTGAACTCAAAAGGTGCAGGATTCTTGTGTGGGTTTCAAAGGGGAGGAGAATCAAAGCTGGAAGTAGAAAAAGGGTCTGAGAGACTGTCTGTCTGCTGGTAGCTGCCTGCCAGCAGTTTTCACAGGGCTGACACATTCCTGTTGACTCACTCTGAGCTTTCTCTCCATCATTAAGCTAAGACAGAGAAGCAGCTTCAGTCTTTAACTTGTTGTTAATTCCATAGCTCTCAGAGTTGGTGTTTTTTAGTTTGTTTTTCCTCCCTGCTTTCTTTTTGCTAGTTAAAAGGACAGACAAAAATTAATTTCAGTTATCTTGGAAATATCTTCCTTTCAGACTCTTCTCCTACTGTGAAATCCTTTACATATGGTCATGCTTTATTCACTTCTACCACAGACTGTGTTTTTCCCTAAGAAACAACTCTTCATAGAAAAAGCTGTATTTCATGAATTACAATCTTTGTACTGGTAGACCAGAAGGGTAAACAAGTTGCATAACAAATGGCTACTTGGCAATACCACTTGTGGATTTGAAAATACTCTTAATTATGAAACAAAAACCCCTTAAAATAGACTAAAACAGCATAGCCAAGAAGACTTTTTGCAGTTCATCCTCTTCGGTGTATTTAATTGCTTGAGG